GCTGGTTGCAGATCGCATTGGAATGGTTGCGTCAAGGTTACTTGGTGCAGCGGCTGCATGCGTAATACTATTGTCTTTTGCAGCTGAAGAGCGTAAATCGTATTGGAATGCATGCATCAAGGTTGCGATAGTGATTTGTCAGCAGATTTTCTCCATTTTGGCGCTCGTGATTTTCCTTTTAAGAATCCTTTTTAAAAAGTGCTTCAAAATCGTTTTTTTTTCGCTTTGGCGTCGAGATCCGGTTTTGGAGCTGCAGTTTCCGACGCCGTTGCGTGTAATTTTATTGTGTTTTGCAACTCAGTCTCTGCAGATCGCATTGTAATGGCTGCGTCAAGGTTGCTGCGTGCTGTGGCTGCATGCGTAATACTATTGTCTTTTGCAGCTGGATCTCGTAAATTGTATTGGAGTGGCTGCATGAAGGCTGCGAAATCGATTTGTCAGCAGATTTTCTCCATTTTGGCGCTCGTGATTTTCCTTGAAAAAAAATTTGAAAAGTGCTGCAAAATCGTCTTTTTTTTCGCTTTGGCGTCGAGATCCGGTTTTGGAGCTGCAGTTTCCGACGCCGTTGCGCGTAGTTCTATTGTGTTTCGCAACTCAGTCTCTGCAGATCGCATTGTGATGGCTGCGTCAAGGTTCCTTCGTGCTGCGGCTGCATGCGTAATACTATTGTCTTTTGCAGCTTGATCTCGTAAATCGTATTGGAGTGGCTGCATCAAGGCTGCGACAGTGATTAGTAGTAGTACTGGGAAGTGATTCCTGAAAGCTTAGACGACATATGAGAAGAGATGAGATGAGAAGAGATCAGCTGGGATAAGGTGAGAAGAGCTCAGCTGAGATGAAGTGTGGAGTGTGAAGAGTGCAGTGTGAAGTGTGGATTGTGAAGAGTGCAGTGTGAAGTGTGAAGTTTGGAGTGTGAAGGAAGCAGTGAGAAGTGTGAAGTGTGGAGTGTGAAGTGTGGAGTGTGAAGTGCGAAGTTTGGAGTGCGAAGAGTGCAGTGTGAAGTGTGGAGTGTGAAGTGTGGAGTGTGAAGTGTGGAGTCTTAAGAGTACAGTGTGAAGTGAAGTGTTGACTGCGAAGGGTGCAGTGTGAAGAGTGCAGTGTGAAGTGTGGAGTGCGAAGTAGTGCGAAGTGCGAAGTGGAGCTTCAAAAGTGACATGTGAAACAAGACACCAGTTTCGCAGAGTGCACGCACGCACCGGCTTGGCTGGCGCACGGCGCATGCAAGTTCTATAGATGAGAAAGGTCTCATATATATCTTTAAGGCAACTTCCGCCCCGCCTCGTGCGGGTACTACTGGTATAACAACTTTAAGCTCTATTTCCACTAGAAAAGGCTTGTGCATGGACAGCAAAAGGCCAATATGGTTTTAGATTTTAGATCATGTAGTGTATTTGGGGAAACAAATTGCCTTCTGCGCGCCCACAACAAGCCTATCTGTATTTGTAATAGAAGAGGCTTGGGCATGGACAACAAAAAATATGATCTAGATCATGTAATATATCGACAAAAACTGCACATATGCAAACAATTGGTGATTTCAGCGCTGGCAACAAGCCTTTCTGAAAATCTAAAAAGTGTAGAGTGTGGAGCGCAAAGTGTAGTGTGGAGTGTGGAGTGTAAAGTGTGGCGTGTGGAGTCTAAAGTGTAGATTGTGGAGTGTCAAGTGTAAGGTGTGGAGTGTAGAGTGTAGAGTGTGGAGTGTAGAGTGTAAAGTGTAGAGTGTAAAGTGTAAAGTGTGGAGTGAGAAGTGCACAGTGTAAAGTGTAAAGTGTGGAGTGTAGAGTGTAGAGTGTAAAGTGTAGAGTGTAAAGTGTATGGCGTGGAGTGTGGAGTGTGGAGAGTAAAGTGTAAAGTGTCAAGTGTGGAGTGTAAAGTGTGTGGTGTGAAGTGTCAAATGCAAAGTGTGGAGTGTAAAGTTCAGAGTGTAAAGTGTAGAGCGTAAGCGTAGAGTGTAGAGTGTGGAGTGTAAAGTGCTGCTTGTCCAAAATATTGCGCCTGCCGCGCAAAATGGCATTCCACAGACGACGGATCTTCACCAAATGCTGCGCCTGCCACGCAAAATGACGATGGTGGTCTCCAACGTGCTGCTGCTGCCACGAAAAATGCAACTCACCTTCTGAAAACGAAACAAAAGTATTGCGCCTGCCACAAAACGAGTTTCGGCATCATGAAGTGCCACACCTGCCACGCAAAACGACATTACAACCAGCTTTGATAACTTCGAAAAGGAGAGGATTGGCAGCTTCCCCCATAGACACGGCGATGCCACAAGAAAACCAGAGAATCGAGACGAGACATGTTTTTCGTACTTGTTCGAATGTGTTTCGGGGTGATCTTACTTATGCGATCCCTGGACTTCATATTTGGCTTTAATTTTTGTTTCCAGGTATGCCATCAGGTATGAAATACAAACACTCAGACAATTCAGCAAGTTCCAAGAAAGGGAACGCAAGAGTGAGTTTCTCATTCGGTTGTCAGGGTCTGGCAAGACTTTTGATGCAAACGTTTCCCCGGCGTATTCTATTATTTGAGTTTGCAAATCTGTATATGATAAACATCCTTACCCGTTTGTACTAACGCGTTGTACGAACCGGAAGTAAATAAGAAAACCCACCTTAAACGTTGGCTGGAGCTTCAAAACGAGCATTTCGTGCAAAACTTCTGGGTTTTTTCATACTTTGTAGCTCAAAATCGATGTTTTCCCACGAATTTTCATAACGAACCCTAAACTCAGCTGCCTCAAAATCGATGTTTCGTGCGAGGTTTCCGCCAATTTTCATCGCATCTCACCAAATGCCACCACTGCCAGGGAATTTGCACGTTGTCACCACTTCACGCAGCCCTGACACGACACGTCTAAAGTACTGCGCTTGCCACGCAAAATGACGATGGAACTCTCCAAAGAGCTGCGCTTGCCAGGAAAAATGCAAATGATCTTCTAAAAACGACGCAAAGATATTGCGCTTCCCACACAAAACGACTTTCGACACATTATGAAACGCGTTGGGGTGTCACAAAGTGCCACGCCTGCCACGCGAAACGAGGCTACGCGAAACGAGGCTACGCGAAACGAGGCTACGCGAAACGAGGCTACGCGAAACGAGGCTACGCGACCATTGAAACTTCCAAAAGTGACCATTTTTGCAGAACTCGCCATAGGCACGGCCATAGCGACCTCGCGCGGACGGTTGCGAACGGCTGCGGACGGTTGCGTAACGTCTTGCGAACACAGCCTCAACCCCCAGGCCCCAAAGTGAAACGGGAACCTTTGCTACGCATTCGGGAAAAATTGGCGGGCAACATTTTCAATCATGTTTCCGTCGTGATTTGTAAGGTGCAAATCCGAGAAGAAGGTCGCAAGACAAGAAATTCAAGCAAAAAGAAGAGGACGACAATTCAAGTGCCTGGTTTTCTTCATGTCACTCAACGTGTTCAGCCCTCTCACGGCCAAATCATGATCGGTTTGGTCATGTTGTGGGCGTGCTGCCTTTGCAACTGCGTTGTTTGACCTGTTTGCACCCAACAGGAGCGTGGCTCAATCAGGCCAGCTACTGTATTATATTGCACTGGCGGGCCGGGTCATTCCATGAATATGAGGTTCTTGTTTTGTCGTTAACTTATGGGTTTACTTTGTACCTGGTTTCAGGAAATGAGCGCCCGTGAGCAGGCACAGACCTTTGTCGCAATGTCCGGTTTTCCCATGCCTTTCTTGCCATGAGACGAAGTAGTTTTGATATGCTGAACAATTCGTTGACGCATTTGATCTGGGCAGTAAAAAACAACTCCCAATTTGTTGCCATGTATCGCTTGTAAAGCTGTCCGTTTTAGGACCCTCACTTCCAGATGCGTCCGGTGCGGAGCGCCACCAGCATCACCACTGAGTGTAGTTTGGGCAATTTAAAGCCAAACTGCGCGAAAACGGTGGATCATTTTCTCGTACAGTTGTATTTCCTGACTTGGCACAAGAAAACCTCAAGCAGCCCACCCCGACAACGGTGGTGTACAGTGCGCCCATGGGAAGCAAAGTAGCCATGGGGGCTTTAGCTCCGTCAACCATTGCATTTTCAATTGCAATGAGGAGTTCTGCACGTCATCAACGATTTGGTTTTCTGCACGTGGAGAGGTTTTTTTTCAGCCTTCTCAGCCACGCGTTTGAACGCGGCATGCTTCATGCACTGGCTTGGATTGTTAGATGTCTTGAGAAAAGGCGCAGCCTTTAGCTTGCGCAACAATGATGCAGAGACATTCGATCTGGCACGATCTTCCGTAGTTGATGAGGGAATCTGTCGTGATGAACCTGTCGTGATTACCATCATTGGTTTTCAAACGTAGTTTTTTTCTTTTAAGCATGTTTCTTGGATTTTGTTGACACAGATTGACACAGTATTGCCGTTGCAGAATTGCATAGTTGAGGTTGCACATAGAGGACCACATTTCCTTCTCAACTCCAGCCACTGCTGCGGTTCATTGAAATATATAGGCGTGGGCGGAACTCGTTTCCAAAACAAACACGCCATTGAAGCCGGCAGTTTGTATGGAATCTGCATACAAGATCCTTTGTGCAGGATCCTGTTTGTCTAGTGCCCAGCCCGAATTTGCAAGCCTTTGCAGTTTGCTATCGGCAGACTAGCTCATGCGGCTAAGCTCCTTGCCGACTAGTGTGCAGACGCTGCATGAGTGGATGCAAGAAAATGCAAGAAAGTGACAGAAAAGGCAGTTCTGCAATGATGGTTTCACTTCGATTCATTCGATGCCGGACTGGAACTTATCCATCAGAGCACCAGAAGGACCTGAGACTATCCTCAAAGGACAAGAGCTGACAAGCAGCTTCGCAGCATCAATTTCCTGACTCAAGAGTCATGAGCACATATTTGAACAAACAGATGGACATGATGGACATGTTTGCTTGATTTGGCCTTGGCTCCAAGTCCAACCATATTCAACTTTACTTAAGTTGGCAAGACCAGCTTGCAGGCGCACTAGGAAACACGTCGATTACGGTTGGTTTGCACATCGACTCCGGTTTTCCATGTGTGTTCAGATGGCAAGCTTGATGTCCTCAGCTGATTTTTTTTTGAGAATTGGATGCTGCCATTTCCAATTGAGTCTGCTCGAGTTTCCAAACGTTTCCAGTCTTCGAATTTCTTGCCGTCAAGCTGAGGTCCCGAGCCTTGCGTAGTTCCCAGGCTGGAGAGATAAATAAACCGATCTTGTTGGCAGAGCTCTGTGAGTCACAGGTGATAGACATTGATAGAACGACATGATTCTTGGTTGTGCATGGGTGTGCCTTCGCACATCCAATTTGCTGTGGTTTGTAGAGTTTTTTGCATCGGAGTGTGCAAAGTTCCCAGACTGGACAGCAAACCCATAGCTCACCAACATCAACTTTTTAATTGGCAGTCTGCGCTCGCTGGCCAAGCACGGACCATGGCAAGAAAGGTGACTGCCTAAGACATGTTGATGACATTGAAGCCTGTCCAAGGAGTCCAAGGAGCTGGCAGTTGAGAGCCCTTGAATTTGAATCGGACGGATCAGGCCTCGACCTTAAGCCCTCAAATGGTGGACGTGGGATCGAAACCCACCACCAGGCGAACCGTGTGATGCTGAGGGCCGCTATGTCAAACGGTCAAACGAAAGCATTCAGCGGCCACCAAACATTTCACACTGCATGGGGGCAATTTGGAATGCTGGGCCAAACACTGATGATTTGATGATCGTTATGCTCAAGTGCTCTACTCTGGTCTGCTTGCGTGAGTGATTGCAGAGCAATCAATGTGTTGATACAACTCCAAGACCAAGGCCCGGTCAGGCTGCACAGTCATAGTTGGCCGGGAGGCAAGGCTGGCAGAGGTGAAGCAACATGTGAGAACATGCCGAGTCGTTTCCCTGAAGGTAGCTGCAGCTTTGGCAACCAAAAGTGTGGCCAAGGGCGATGCATCTACACAGCATTTTTAGAACTCTGCGTCGACAGATTTGGATCAATTTGTGCCGATAGATTCGCCCTGTGGGGCACCCGACTGGAGATATTGGCTCTTGCATGCGGTCCTATTGGCTAATTTGACTAAGGTCTTTACTGTTAGTGAAGTTGCGGGGATCATGGCAGCAAAGCGTACTCCAGAGCTCCTCCCCTTGTCCAGGGCCAAGACAAACTGGTGAAAAGGACAAGAAGGCCTTACAAGTTGCAATGTCGCAGTATAATTCCAGGTGCCATCCACTACCCCTCACCCGCGCTACAGTTCAGCTGGGCCCAAAGCTTTGAAGCCGAGCAAATCACTCATATCCAAATCCTTCCTCGCCGAGATTCGGGTGAGGTGCACACTTGACAGAGAGAATGCCTTGGTGCATGTCACAGCGGATGTGTCCTGCGATGGCCAAACCGGTGTGACTGCCTCAGCAAAGAGAGTAGCCCTGGGCCTGAGCCTGACGGTCACTGTTTCAAAACGTTGTCCTGTTTGATCCTGTTTGGGTATGTTTGGCATTGTTTGGGCATGTTTGGGCTTTAAAAGTGCCCTCCACGACATGGATGTTCTGCCGGACTTAAGGTTGAAATGGAAAGCTTGGCAGCAGCATCAACTGCTGCTCTTTGTATTTATGACATGTGCAAGCCCATTAGCAAAGGCCAGCCATGCTGTTGGGAAACTTGCATTGGTTTTTGAATAGTACACCTTGTTGAGATTTGTAGAGGCATTGTGATAACAAATCTTCGGCTACTGAGCAAGTCTGGCGGGAAGAGTGGCGACTATGTTTCACCTGATCCATGAGTGGAAGAGAATCTTATCGCTTTGAAACCTCCTAGTCACTACATCCTAGTATGACCCTGTACCACCGTCACTGAAGCTTGAGCAAACACCTGACAAGACCGTGCAGGTCGGCCAAATCACTTTGTGCAATCTTGGCTGTGTTGGCTCTTCACTATCTAGATCGACTTTAGTCTTTGCATGTCACTATGCCGACATCACCACACCACAACACCACATGCACAGACAAGCACAAGCAAGGATGTTGTACTTCATGTTGTGTCTAGGAAAGCTCAGCAACGGCTGTTCGTGGTCTTGTCCACAACTGAAGGGCTGGCATATGCTGACTTGCTTATCTTGCTTAGCAATGGATTCCACAAATGGCATCTCTGGACCGAAGCCATCCACACATTCGGTTGTTTGTGTTTATTTTTCCCTTTCGCCTTTCTTTGATTTTCTTTGCCCATTGGGTCTGTGTTTGCTATACATCATAGCACCATGGGGACAATCTTCATGGCAGGAGGCGCATCGTCTGATTGGCACGCCAGGTGTGAGCTGGTGAGCTGAATGAGCTGCATTGAGCTGCCTTTTGTTTTTAACATTTTTGGTCGTGGAAAAACCCGAGAAGTTCTGGCACCCAGCTCTCGCAAGCCTTCAGCTCCTTCAGCTCCTTCGGATCCTTCGGCAGGTCGGTGGCTCACTGCTGGCGACTTTGTCTCCACAGATGGCTGTGCAGCGTTCCTCTTCCAAGCTTTCAGGAAATCCATTGGCTTTGACTTGAATATACTTACTTGAACTAATCTTGAACTTCATACCGCGCTGTGTAGCAAAGCTATGCAAAGCTTTCATTATCGTAGTGGGATTTATGCTCGAGCTGCGATGAGTTGGGTGTTGGGTTTTGCTTCTGTGTCGTTCCTTTTCATCAAAACTTAGACTCAGGGAAGGAGCACTCTCGGGAAACAGTGTGGGGTGTGCAACGGAAAGGGCTGCCGCGGGGCAAATGTACGGACAAAGGCGCGCAAGGAGCATAGAAGCAACGGCACTTGCGCGCAGAAATAAAACGGGAAAAGCTACTTGCCTGGAGCTTCCGTCCAGTAGCTCCAGTGGTCCCAGTGCAGAAATGTGTGAGCGCTGTTAAGTGATCAAAGGTAGCGCATGGAACGGACGGAAACCAAACTGCCATTGGTTGGCGGGGCTTGTTTCCTAACATCGCATCGCCGCGCATCACATCGTACTATCGTAGAAACAGGGCTGGAATTTTGTTTTAGTGCGCGCCGTCTCTGCAGCTGTACTTGCCCCAGCGAGTTCAAGAGTGGAGACATGACAAGTTGCTGAGACTTCCGACTCATAAGAACATGCGCGGGAAGTTCCTGGACATTCGCATTTTGTTGCTGGATTTTTGCGGGGCAAACTTTTTGGAGAAGGCTACAGTCATGGCCAAAGCTATGGTGTGGCGCTTGCTGCCGGCCTTGCTGCTGCTGTGGTCTCCTGCAACTGGCCAGGAACAAGCAGAACAGTCAGGGCCACCAGTGGAGGAGCCCATCAGTGCAAAATCAGAATAAATCAGGTCAGGTGGAAGGAGAATGACACACACACACATATCATATCATATCATATATTATATGATATTATTTCATCTTTACATTTATATTATGTTATATTTATATTATATTATTTCATCTTTACATTTATATTATGTTATATTTATATTATATTATTTCATCTTTACATTTATATTATGTTATATATTATATGATATTATTTCATCTTTACATTTATATTATGTTATATTTATATTATATTATTTCATCTTTACATTTATATTATGTTATATTTATATTATATTATTTCATCTTTACATTTATATTATGTTATATTTATATTATATTATTTCATCTTTACATTTATATTATGTTATATATTATATGATATTATTTCATCTTTACATTTATATTATGTTATATATTATATGATATTATTTCATCTTTACATTTATATTATTTTATATATTATATTATATTATTTCATCTTTACATTTATATTATGTTATATATTATATGATATTATTTCATCTTTACATTTATATTATGTTATATTTATATGATATTATTTCATCTTTACATTTATATTATGTTATATTTATATGATATTATTTCATCTTTACATTTATATTATGTTATATTTATATGATATTATTTCATCTTTACATTTATATTATGTTATATTTATATTATATTATTTCATCTTTACATTTATTATGATGTTATATTTATATGATATTATTTCATCTTTACATTTATATTATGTTATATTTATATGATATTATTTCATCTTTACATTTATATTGTTATATTTATATGATATTATTTCATCTTTACATTTATATTATGTTATATTTATATGATATTATTTCATCTTTACATTTATATTATGTTATATTTATATTATATTATTTCATCTTTACATTTATATTATGTTATATTTATATTATATTATTTCATCTTTACATTTATATTATGTTATATTTATATTATATTATTTCATCTTTACATTTATATTATGTTATATTTATATGATATTATTTCATCTTTACATTTATATTATGTTATATTTATATTATATTATTTCATCTTTACATTTATATTATGTTATATTTATATTATATTATTTCATCTTTACATTTATATTATGTTATATTTATATTATATTATGTTATTTCATCTTTATATTTATATTATGTTATATTTATATTATCTTATATTGTGTTATGTTATAATTACATTATGTTATATTATATTAATTATATCATGTTATATTATATTATGCTATGTTGTGCTATATTTTTTATTATGTTATATTATATTATGTTGTATTATATTATGTTGTATTATATTCTGTTGTATATATATATTTTAAATTATATTATGCTATATTATATTTTATTACATTATCTTATCTTATATAATATTTTATAATATTATATTATCTTATATTATCTTATAATGATTATGTTATCTTATATGATTTTATATTTCATCATATTATATCAAACATATATATATATATACATAACACACATGTAATCTATTTATTTATTTAATTATCTATTCATATATATATTTATTTATTCATTTATTTATTTATTTATATATATATACATATACATAGCTCCCGTATAATATTTCGAGTCTTCGGACCGGACTGAGACAAGAAAAGAAACCGTATATTGAATGAACAAGTAGAACAAGGTCGTGTGGAGTTGGCCAGGAGGTGAACCGTGCTATGGCTGCAGCAAACGCTGCCATAGCCGCCTCCAATGAGAAGGCCTGGAAACCTTCGGTCAGCGGAATGCATTTCCTGGACTTTTCCAGGGCTGGCTGTATCATGCTGTCACACAAGCATTACCATTCTGTTGGGCAACATTGTTGATGTTGATGTTGTTGGACGCCGGTTTTCACCCGATTTTGGAGCTGAGGCGCGACATGTCGAAGCGGAAGAACAAGCTTTGAAAGAGGAGAAGAAGGCCCTGCAGAAGCGTGAACACCGAGAGAAAGCTCGAGAACAGGAGGAACATCGACATTGGAGACGGATGTGGAAAATTGTTGAAATATGTTGATACACACAACAATTTCATGGCAAAGGTATTTGTGATGAACCCCCGACAAGACCCGCAGATGGCATGCTTTGACTCATTGGCAGATTTGGCAGAGGTTAGGACAGAGATGGAGGGGATCTCAACCCAGAGCGTTCTTCATGCCAAAAGCCTTTCAATCACTTTGCGTGACGAAGGGCATTTGCATGCATTTGTGCTCATCTGAAACGGGATGAGTTATGGCAGTTATGGATAGTTCTGGTGATTTCTGGCGGGTTTGTAGTGCAGACTCGGGAGGAAAGTGAGAAACTTCGAAAAGAAAAGGATGGCCTTGAGACGGAGAGGAGGCAAATCACTGCACTAAAGAAAGATACAAAGGAGCGCCACATAGCGCCACTGTGGACTCAGGGGGCTCGGTGCAGACTCGGTGCAGACTGGGACAGGAGTATGGGATGCAATTTGATGATAGCTTACCTTGTCAGATTGTCATATCTAGTGTCAATTATCTTGCCCATTTCTGATATTTCTTTATCTTGTCATGATGTGTTTCATGATGTTCCATGATGATTCAATATGATTGATGCACTTTCACGAGTGGTTTTTGGTGCAGGACGAACTCAGGAAGGCTCGGAAGCAGACCGATGAGGCTGAGTGGGCTCAAACAGATGCGTTGGACAAATTGAAGAGGTATGAGAAACTGCATTCTGAGAGTCAGAGCCTTCTGGCAGCAAATATGGCTTTCTTCATCCCTGCGTGATCCTGCGTGCATAGCATTGCATAGCCATTTCATGATCCCACTTGGACAATCCCTTGCAATCACAAGCAGGGCCTTTCAACTGGTCCCTGTCTAAACGATCTAAACGGCATTCAAGGTATGCTGAAGCGCTCTGCTGTGAACAACGATCAAGCTGCCAAAGTAGAAACCCAAGCAAGAGAAAGCTTTGATCAGGCCATTGTGCTGCATATATCCTCAGTGGCACTGACCAATTCCAGATGGGCACCAAAAGTTGTTGTATTGGGAGTCCTTCACATGTATTGGGGTGAGCTCCTTCGGTTGAAGTTGGTAGGTCCGTGAAGACAAGGCCAAAGCAACGCAGGCTGAGAAGAACTATCAGCAAAAAGCCGCGGAGGTGCGTAGGACGAAATCTGTTGTTAGACCAAAGATGCTTTCAGACCACAGCCGGGGACGCGTCTTGCCAGTGTGTGCTACACTTAAGTGCTTTGAGAGGACAGAGGTTTCAAACGGTTTCAGTTTTTGAATTTGCTTTGTATGATTTGTATGTCCCGTTCCAGGCTCAGGCTGCTGAAAAGGCGGCGTGGACTCAAAAGGCGAAGGCCGAGGCCATGGCGCGAAGGCATGCTGCAGAGCTGGATGCCTTGCAGGCCGGTGGTGTATTGTATTTGTTCCATATTCTTTTCTGTTTTTTTCCTCGTTTGCACCCTGACTTCAACCATTTTGACTTGATATCCGTAGCTGAATGGTTCTTGTAGGCTGAGCAGGAGTCGCTGGCAAAGCACCGGGCAAAACTCGACATTGAGATTGCAAACGTTCAGGATGCACGGCCACTTGACTGCAACAGAAGCCAGATCAACCGCTAATAAGAACCGACATTGCTTGGTTGCCCTGGCGAATGTGGCTCCCGTGTCCCTCTCATAAACCGACAGAGGCACAAAGTGATGGCGGCGCTGGCAGAAGCAAAAAATGCGACACAAGCTGCTACCACAGAGGAGGCTGACGCCTCCAACCAGAAGCTGAAGGCCACAGAGGGCAGAGATAGGGTGAAAGGATGTGAAAGAATATGAAAGCAGGTTGAGGAAACAGTTTAACATGTTCAGCTGTTTGCCTCCAAATACTTCAGGATACTTCCAGATTCTTTGCGGGTTTGCTTGTTTGCGGTGGTCGGTGACCGCTGTGACATTCTTGAATTATGAGTCCAACAACACAGAGAATATAGGGTTTGACAAAAAAATTAAAAAAAAAAAAAACCAGAGCAAACAAAAAAAACAAACTAGAAAACCAAAACCAAGGAAAAAACAAGAAAAAAACAAGAAAAAAACAAAAAAAAACAAAAACAAATCAAAAAAAAATCAAAACCTGCATTTTCCGCAGTTTTGATTTTTTTTTTGTTTTTTTCTTGTTTTTTTTCTGTTTCTTCCTGTCGATTTGTTTTTTTGGTGATTCTGTTTTTGTTTCTGTTTTTGTTTTTTTTTGTTTTTTTATTTTTTTGCTAAAATCCACTTTCTCTGTTCTACACGGGGTCATAATTCTTGAATCAACAACGTACACACGTGCTTCTCAGCTTCTGGATTCCGTCAGCTACGAGCAATCATGATTGCATATTATTATCATTATTATTAATCATTATTATCATTATTATCAATATTGTCATGATTATTTTCATGATTGTTTTCATTATTATTTTCATTACTATTTTCATTATTATTAATAACAATCTTGTTACTATTTATTGTCATTACTATGACTGCTACTACTATTATCATTATTGTTGTTATGTTTATTATTATTGGTTATTCATATTGTTGATATACTTTTGATATACCAATCAATTATACCCATCGAGACAGCGTAGGAAAGCATGGGGGGCTGGCGTTGCTTGACTTGGGATGACACAGCCCAGGCAAAGCAGGAAATGGAGAAGGCTCAGCACCTCATGGCTGTAGCAAAAGAAATGCACGACGTTGCGGAGCTACCTGGCAGCATCAGCAGTTCAAGAGATTTCCTGAGACATCAAAACACTGTACAAAAGCCGGACTTCATTGGACTTCTCATGTTTCTTGTCGTGCAATGAGATTCTATAAGATTCTGCAACTAGCTGTGGTTTCAAAGGTGGTGCCCGGGTCAGAAATGGCGAGCTCTGAGTTCCTGCATGCAATCCCCAAAATCCCCGAGGAAAGCCATGGTGGCAGCCAAAGTTCTGCAGGGGTCTAGCGAGCACGGCGATGCTGGTGATGTCCCAGAGGCAGCGAGATGATGAATTCACTTAGTCGACACTTTTCTACACTTTTCCTACTTATTCCCACTTGAGTTTCTTTTCAAAAGCTCTCCGTTGAGCCTTCGAGTCGGTGGTTTAGACAGAGGGCCGCCAGTTGAACTGTGGAGCAGGTGACTCCTACCGGCCAGGCTTGGCCGCATGCACTGAGAAGCAACTCTGGTTCCCAAACTGTTTCTGGCCGACAGTGCGCAGATCCAAGATGGTCCGAATATGTCCGAGTAATGCAGAATGATCATTAGCGCTAGCCCGCTAGCCAGAATCTCTTGTGGCATCACTGGCACGCCTCTCATGATATACATTTGCATATTCACACATGCTGGCAAAAGCTGGCAAAACCGGCCAGGGTGACTCAGAGGAGGCAATGTCTGCAGCTGTGGCAGCTGCAGCCCGAGCGCAGAAGCGTCTTCAGCATGCCGAGAAGGCACAGGGAAACGGACGAGGTAACATTTCTACTGAACAATGTCAAACATGAAAATTCAAGACGCATTAAAGAGACAGTTTGGAGGCCTGCTACACCCGGTGCCAAAGATGTTCAATGATGATATGAGATGTGCTGCCTGTGTGGTTGCATCATTTGTTTCTATCGCAAACCTCGCAGGAACTTGCTGCAGTCAAAGCTGCCAAGGCGAAACAGGCCAAGGACTTGCAAGCCAAGGAACAAGATCTTATAGACACAATGCAATCACTCGTAGCTTTGCTGGATTCAGAGATGTGGGGCGAACGTGATTTTGTAGCCTGTGCTTGTGGGAATGTGCTAGATCTCCTTGACCTTGTCCCAAACATGGCCAAGGATAAGAGCAGGTCCAAGGAAGAAGAAGCTAAGAGCCAAGCATCCGCCCTCAAAACGAGAATCAACTCAGATGAGTCAAAAGTTTTGTACCATGGCTGATGTTTTGCTTGTGTTTGATGGATGCTTTGGCAATTCTACTGTGGCGTTTTCTTAAAGTCTAGCATGTGGCGCCCTATGTCATGTCACGTTGTGTCTCAGGGTCCTGGAAGTCATCCTGATTGCAGTTGTTATCACCTTCGCTGTTGCAGCTGCTACGTATGTGAACCAGAAACCTCCGCCCAAACCGAAGAAACTGACAGAAGAGAAGGCGCAGCCAGCATGGATGGATTGTGTCGCAGGTGGTGCTAACGGGTGCCTGACATATTTGACATTCAACTGGAGGGCAATGCAATCAGGATTCTTAGACCTGTTGGACATGTTGGACTCAAGTTGCAAGATGCTCCAAGATGTTCCAAGATCCTTTACTTTTTCTGTCGAACCACTGCATACAGCCAGTGGATTCAAGGCAATAGATATGTTCCAAGATGTTCTGGTAATTGTTGCATGCTGTTGGATGCTGTTGCAGTGGAGATTCAGGCAAGTGCAGGTAGGCCTGAGAAAGTTGACGTTGCCGTGTTTGTTTTTCAGTTGCAGAGCCCTGACCCCAGGCAATTGACCAGTCTCCGCTAAGTCGCCGCGTTGATGTGGAAGTGCAGGCTGATGCTCCGAACTCAGATGATTTCTGGCTTATAATGGTTTTGTTTGTCGGAAGACTTTGATCATAAGATGTCATTACTCTTCGCAGACCTCTTACAGCATTTTATTTTTATGATTGATTACCACTGGTTGTCCTGGCTTCAGGTCAAGTGCGAAGCTCGTGGCTCACCTTTTCACACACCACGCACCTCCCCCCGAGACCCATTCAAACCGCCTCCTTTCGGTTTGGGTGGTGCGGTCAATGCTCCCCACTTTGCATTGCCCTTGCAGCAGTCAACGGCTCGCCAATATTTCCTCTCACCAACTGCAAAGGCACAGCAGCGTTTCAGGGACACTTGGGATTTGAGTTTTAGGAACGATTCAGCGATTGTTATCTTGTACCGCAATTTTTCCGCTTGCGAAAGCTCTGGGTGAGTTTGTTTTGAGAACTCAAACTTCAACAAAACCGCGCTCTGGACATGGTTCCTGCATGTTCCTGCCGCACATTCTTTTTCGATAGTATTCAGATGCTCATCATGATGATGATGATGATGATGATGATGGTGCTGATGGTGGTGGTGGTGGTGGTGGTAGTGGTGGTGGTGGTCGTGGTGGCGGTGGTGGTGGTGGCGGTGGTGGTGGTGGCGGTGGTGGCGGTGGTGTTGATAATCATGACGACGATGATGGTGATGTGGATGTGGATGTGATGTGGATGTGAAATTGCCAGCGCTCTCTTCCGAACCGGGGATGGCTCATGGGAGCACTGGGCGAGAATGGCAAAATTGATTTTTGCACCAAGTACGGTAGGAGTTAAATCATTAAATCTGTTTGAATTGAAATTATTGGCCAAAAGTTGCAGAGGCAGTGGACGATGATAATCTGAGAGAGCCATTGCTGAGACAGCAGAGTTAGCTTGGTAACCTGATCTTCCTCAATCTAAGCCACCAGAGGACGTACAAACTTGTGGAAAAAGTAACCTGAATTTGGGACTTGAATTGCGTGGCCCAAAAACATGACTATGTCAGATGCGGTCTTGGACCCTGAAATGCGGTTTTTCACCATACGCGTTGCATTTCTCAGATCCAACTTTCGGCACAAAACCAAGTAAAACGATGGACCATGTTTGTCATTTTTTTCGTTCTTGATGACAGGCAGGTTGGAGGCGAATTCATTCTTAGATCTTGGGCACTGAATTTTCCCGTCTAAGGCAAGAGGTGTGGAACAATCAAATTAAGTCACTTGTGAGCACTCCATGGACTTTTCTTTCTTAAATATCCTGGGTAGGTACCTTAGAACTATCTAGAACTCCTACCTAGAAAATAATCCTAGGTGGGTACCGTACCCTCCCGCACTTGGCTCAGAAGAGTGCCACAGGAAAGTCAGGCTTCGAGTGTATTGTCGATGTCAGTTTAAACGCGCGGGCATCGCAGGACTCTTGAACTTGTTGTCCCAGCAGAATGCACTGTGACACTGTGATGGAAATGATTCACTCCTGCCTTGGTCAAATGCTTCAACTGTGTTTAATGGCAAATTCACAGTGCAGCCGCTGGAGTTTTTGTTCCTTGATTTGGACCCAGCGTGTTGTCCAACTCCGATTTGCAAAAGACAATGCTGGAGTAGGCCTGGGCCCCTGCCCATGGCAAGTTTGGAACAAGAAGTGCCCCATGGGAGAGCTGAGCCAACCATAGCACTCATGGGCGCTTACGGTGATATCATTGAACTTTGCAGCTTGATGAATTCACCCACGGCAAAAGCCAGCACAGGCCAACATTGGCAGCAGGGAAGTGCAATGTTGAGAACGAAACACACCATTTTTTCAAAGAAACTGCGCGCAGGAATCGTGAGAATAGTGAGATTTCCCTAGGTGAAGTTTCTTTCTTCAAAGATGTTGACCGATTTTTTGCTGCATTGTTGAGCCCAAGTGCATTCAGCCCCCTTTGCAAAGGAGGCCAATTTTGCGTCTTCCCACGGTAGCTTTTTTCTCGGAGCTGCTACTGCACGACTAGAAGCATTGGTGCTTAATTGTCAGTACTGGATTTCGGAATTTCTCTAGCTTTCTTAGGAGGATCCGGAGCGTACAAACTGTTTTCAGGGGCTTTATACGACCCAATGGGATCGTGTGATGTCGTTTGTGCAAACGCTGGAGCTGGAAATAGGGCCAGGCTGTGTTTGCATCAGGTGCTCAAATGTCTTCAGTGCATCCTTTCAAGAAAGAATGGCATGTGCACTTTGCTGATATCTCTATCTCTCTCTCTTTCTCTCTCTCTCTCTTTCTCTCTCTCTCACTCTCTCTCTATATCTTCTTTTTGCTCTGTTTCTGATCATTTTTTGCTTGATTTCAGATGCTTTGAGGCATGAGCTTGGACTTCTGGGCTTCCCACGCGTCTTGACGGAACGTACCACATCACGGGCTGTGTTTGTTATCCAGCCCCACAACTCCTAGGAGCTTGGCCTTCTGCGTACTATGAAAACCAGGCATGCAAATCCGTGATGTCGACATACTAGTTGACCCCATGTTGTCATTGTTCTTGTCGTCCTGTATTGTCATCTTTGTCTCCCTGGAGGGGCCGTGTAAGCCCAAATGGCCTATATAGCCATCTCTCACGGGGTCGTAGTTGGATACCCATGTTTTTTTCAAAACAGGTTGGCTCCATGTAGCCACATTGTCAAACGTCTGAAATTCCAGGCTTTGCGGTCACTGCTGGGTAAGAAAGGAGTCTGTCGTGACAAGCGCTCAGCTTTGCATGCTTGAACTATGCTTTCGGTCATTCAGACGTCCAACATTTGGACAGTTGGTGACATCTGATGACACTACTTCAATCAACCTCACCAGCTGAGGCCGGACGGGTGGCTGTGGTTGGGGACGCCAGCAGTGAGGCAGGCCGTTTCCTTTTTAAAGGATCAGCTGATTTTGTACAGCATTCTTTTGCATCATTTGCATCTCCGCCTGGAAGGTTGCGCAATACACTCACCAAATCGACAAGGCAACTGACAAAGCCGGACTTTGTGAATCTAATCTGGGCGCCCAAGCCACGAGATCGCAGGCATCCTTGCTGCCATGGCAGGGCCCTGTCAACGCGGACCGCATGCAGCTGGCAACGCAGTTGAAGGCAATCCACAATTAAGGGTCTCAAATTTCTGCTTGTTGCATCTTGCTGGATTTGTTGGATTGGTTGGACCATATCGTACCATTTGGATCCATTTGGACCTTTAGGAAAGCCGTCAGTTGAGGTGGTGGAAGGCTGGGCTGTCTTTGAGCGGCTAGAGCTTCCATGTGGCGAGAGCTTCGTGGCTATGAAATACGCGTGGTCTGCAACTCAGGCTGCCAGGGTACACGCGGTGCAGGATCCTTCTCTTTGAGCAGATTTAGATAGATTTATTGTATGATTTAGTTAATTTATGTTAATTACTGTTAATTCATGTGAATTCAATTGTGCGACTTGAGTGGATTGTCGCACCAAGACAGCTAAAGGAACAACAAAATCCCCCCTTCTTTCCTGCCTTTCTTCTGCCTTTCTTCATTTCTGAGGAACGTGTTACCAGATGGCCGGTGGGTGGATTTCTCGCACCGGGCCCAGAACGCCCACAGCGTGTGAGAAAACACTGAAACATCGACACATTTTGAAGCAATTCAATTAGATTGTGGGTCATTGTGGGCCATTGAAATGCGAGTTTTCACAGTTCTTACCTTTAGTATCATATGTACCTCGTATTGCGTACTGCATACTGTTTTCAATTTTTCCCACTGGCAGAGGTTACAGTGACTCCGCAACCACACTCTGAACTTCTAAACGGTCAAAAACATCAGAAACAGCACAGTGTGTAGCAAGATAGTAACAAGATAGTAACAATATAGTAACAAGATTAACAAGATAGTAACACGTATATACGCACACTCTCTCTCTCTCTCACACACACACACATATATATATACATAGCTCGCCGGGTCGGGTTTGCTGCCGCCATGTGGGGCTTCATGCGGGTGCTTCATGGGCTGTTGCCGCTGGCAGTTGAGTCCTGGTGGTGTGAGACCAGTGCTCTCACCGGTTGCCGCGGCCACCCAAGGCACTTTGTCTCGGAGACAGCAAAAGGTGAGGTGGACAAGTTCAAGGCCTTTGAACAATTTCCAATTGGATGGCCCGAGCAACATATTTTCGTGGATTGGGATGAAGATGATGATCTTGATGTCATAAAGTCAACTTCTGAAGGCTTGGACTTGTTTGAGCAAGGAGATCCAGGATATTTTGTGAAGAAAGAGCCCAGTCCTTTCAAAGATGCCAATGCCGAGCATAGACCTTTGTGTTTTCCCGAAGTTCTTGACATCAACGGCGATGGCAAGCTGGATATGCTTCTTGCAAATAATATAGGGGTGAAGTACTATGAGAACATTGCTCGCCTTGAAGAAAAAACTGGAAAGGACAACCACTTCCTGGGCATTGGTGGTATTTCTCGCTGCGGCCATTTGAGCGTGGCCGACTGGGACCAGGATGGCCGATTGGACCTTCTGATTGCCGACTTGGCGAACCCCATGCGCCACTTCCGCCAGGACGCAGAGGGCCAGTTCCGGCTGGTGGATGACAGCCCTTTGCTGCGTGTAACGGCAAATCGCACGCTCTTCCGGCGGCCTCTAATGGTTGACTGGAACAAGGATGGAAAGATGGATTTGATCCTGGTCGAACAGCCTTTCAGGCGAGGATATATCGCCAACGTACTTGCAGAAGAACATGGAATTACCCCTGCGCCGGATTCCTCCACATGCGAAGCGCTTATCTTTCTTCAGGATGAGACAGGGGGTCTCTATGAAAGCACTGCGCCCAAGGGCGTCCTGCAGAACAAGGCTTGCAAGTACAGTGCCATCGCCTTGGTGGATGTGGATGGAGACAAGGACTTGGATGTCATTTTGCTTCCCTCCTCCTTGCTGGGTGTTCGCACCTTCGAAATTTACGAGCACCTGGAGAACCATTCCCTAGCTCTTCCCAGGCACGATGAGGCCACTTCTTTCCCGCTGAGCCAGATCAAATTCAGCAACCAGGGTATAGCGGCGCTGACTTCGAAATATCGTCCTTATTTGGCGGATTGGGATTCGGACGGAGATCTGGATCTGGCTCTTTTGACGAATGGTTTTGGCGGGGGCCCCCGCTTCTTCCGGCACGAGGCAGACGATCGTGTCAGTGAGGTGTCGACGCCCAACTCCACCTGCGGGCTGAACTTCAGTTTTTCCTTCAGTGCCACCGACTTTGATGGCGATGGCCAGCTGGATCTGCTGGGTGTCTACGAAAGTTGGTCGGGAATTCGGGAGAGCTATGAAATCATGGTTTGTCTCCAAACTGCTGCTGGTTACGTGCAGCTGGAGCAGGAGAAGAACCCATTCTACCCCTTGAGGCTGCACGGTGCGTGTACCATTCAGCCCAAGCACAACTTTTTGGACTGGGATTCGGATGGGGATGTGGACCAAATCTGCCTGGACTTCCATGGCCTCTTGCATTTCGTGGAGCAGCTTCCCAATGGCAGCGTTGTGAGGCACCAATTGCCTGTGCCCCAGGCGGAGGACTATGTGGCAGCGGACTTTGATGGAGATGGAGATATTGATCTCCTGCTGGTTGTTTCAGGGAGTAGAGGTTGGAAGTATTATGAGAGAAGAGAAGACGGAAGTCTTGATGAATTGCTTGGGAACGATAACCCTTTTCACAGCTCGGTATGGCACTTGGTATTTCCTGCAGAGCAGACCGCCTTTGGTGTGGATGGCGTCTACGCAGCCCTGGCTGATTGGAATGGAGATGGTGCTTTGGATCTAGTAGCCACGAATGTGAAGTCGGTGTTTTTGTTCTTGAACACACCACTACGGGCCTTTGTCGAGCACGATGGAAGAGACAGTCCATTTTCAGGGATCCATGTGAAGTCATCTTCCGATGCAGAGTGGACCATGGTGGATGTTGACGGAGATGGAGATTTGGACTTCGTATTTTTGCCAAAGGGCAGAACTGACCTGGCCAACCTTTCAATTCTTGACAATGCTGGTCTTGGTGGCCCAGCGCCATATCAGTACTTTGAGCAGTTGGAGAATGGAGAGCTGGCAAAGCGGGAGGGTGCTGCCAATCCACTGTTGGCGGCGCCACGCGCTTGGCAAATGTATGGAGGCCATGTTCCGTTTAACCAGCAAACGCAGATAGGCAGAACTCACATGGTGGCTGATGTTGATGGCGATGGAGACGTCGACATAGTGCATTCCTTCACAAAGGGCTTTGCATACGCCGAGCAACGGAACGGGAGTTTTGTCGTCTTGAAATCCTATGACAACCCGTTTTACCAAGGTTTGGCTTCCCTCTTTGAAGATTCTATGTTGGACTGTTGGACTCTCGTTGACTTTGATGGAGACGGAGACTTGGACCTGGTGAAAACTACGCCAGTCGACCGAAAGGATCTCCTCAGCCTCAGCATACGGAAAGTGCTATACTATGAACAGGAGTCGAACTCCAGCTCTAATCGGAGTGGAAAATTTCATCGACGTGATGGAAAAGACAACCCTTTTTGGAGCGTGGATTTGGCAGCCTTGCCTCACAAAAAAGGTTTGGGTGATTTTTGTCCTCATGTGGCTGATATCGACCAAGATGGCGATCTGGATTTGATCCTGGTCTATGAGACTAAACCTTTGTTCCTGTACTATCGGCAGCAGAATGGAAGCTTCCAGTTGGCAGCAGAGGATCCCTTTGCCGATATATCCATTACTAGAGAGGGTGCCATTGGAAAATCGGGGGGGCTGAAGGTCCAGTTTGCTGATTGGAACGGCGATGGTATGGTCGATATGGTTGCATCAGGAAACACGAGGCTGCAACACTTCACGCAGGGCATATGCTTTGCTAAGAGCGCCTGCAACCAATTTGGCTGCGACACGAAGACAGGTCGATGTGAATGCCCCACCGGTTCAAACAGCTCCGAGTGTCGCATCTGCACTGACTACCACACGCGGCAGGATGCCATGTGCCGCAGCTGTCCGGGCTTTGGAAGCGCTTCAGGCACTTGCACCCATCGGGGCATCTGCGACGACGACGTCGACGCGCGCCAGCGCCAGGCTGCAAAGAATGTCTCGGGCTTTGGCCACGCCGGGGCCACCGGCTCTGGGCAGTGCACCTGCGCCGCGCCCTTCACTGGCGCGGCCTGCGAGTTTGGCGAGTGTCCACCAGGGCACCGCCTCCACCGAAATGCTGAGGTAAGCAACGCCACCGAGAAGTACCCGCACTGGCAGGCCTGCGCCCCGTGCCAGCTGGGGCGTTACAAGAAGACCAGTGGCAACCAGGAGTGCGACCTCTGCCCAGAAGGCTTGGTCCCGGATGCCAATCGCAGCAGCTGCGTGCAGTGCCCTCTGGGCCTCTTCCCAACGAACTTGAGCAGTTGCGGGAAATGCCCTGCAGGTTCCGTTGCAGCCCTCGGGGCCTCGCACTGCACACCCTGTCCAGCGGGCACGTCCCCGAACGCGGACCGCAGCGAGTGTGTGAGATGTGATGATGGTCAGGTGGCCCCCCCCCCGTTCTGCACAGTGTACCCCTTGCGAGCTGGGGTGGGTGCCGGATGCATCTCGCACTGACTGTGTGAAGTGCACGGGTCAGCACTATGCTTTGGACGGCTATGAGGAGTGCCGGAGGTGTACCTTTCCAGCCATGGTCTTGGGGGTGGAAAATTGGTGCACTTCCCTGCACTTCTTCCTCTTCCTGTTGGCCTTCCTTCTTTTGGCCCTGCTGATGGCGGTGATCTTTGGGAAATGCCGGCTGGAGTGCTTCAAGAGGCACCTCGAAACGTTGGTGGAGCGGCAGGAGTGGTGCCAGCTCTATGCTACCAAGACCTCTGCCTTGGAGTTCGGCATTTGGCGCCCGGCGGCCCAGGGAGCCTTGGAAACGCAGAAGGCGGAGGTGAAGACGAGATCCTTTCAGCTGGGCATCTCTTTGCAGTACGTCTTTGAGGAGCTGAAGGCCATTTACCAAGAGAAGGCTCTTGAAGCCGAGTGGCGCCTCGACACTTTTGGTCCAGCCACCAGGAGCAGCTACTTTGTGAATCTCCGTAACAGGGGCGAAGATGTTCCCGACAGAGAAGCGGCTTGGAACGATTTGTTGGAGTGCCCTGCGTCGGAGGACCCCAACTTTCATCAGGTGGCAGGTCTGATGGCCTATGGTCCGTTAGCGCTGGGTAAGGACCAGTACTGCCCTCGTGATGGTCGGCTGGATTGCAGCATCGTGGATGCCTTGGAAGCGAGCCAGCGCAGTGGTAGAGCCACATGGTTCCTCTCCTGGGTTTGGAGCTACAAATTTTCCACGGTCTTGGGTGCCCTCCGGCGCTGGTGGAACAGGCATCATGACGCCACAGGAGACGTCTGTGGCGATGTCTATATCTGGTGGTGCGTGATGGTGAACAACCAGTTCCGAATGTTGGAAGAGGGCCAGACAGCAGAGGCCACGAATCTCTTCGATGTTTTCGGTCGGCAGCTGGCGGGCATTGGCAAAATGTTGATGTGCTTGGACAAAATGAAAGGAGGGACTTACACTAAACGACCTCCGCGCGGTTGCTGCGGGTCTATGCATTGCTTTCAGGCCTAGGCAGTGCACAGAAGCGAACAGTTCAGTTGTGGTGTGTGCTTGTTGTGCTTGCACTGACTTGCCACAGAAGACTTGGGCTGTGTCTTCCAGAACCAGAAATGCTTTGCAACATATCCTTAATGGCAATGGAGCAGGCAGCCGAGCAACAGCTCGAAGACGGAAACAGAAACAAAGCAATGCGCAAGCTAATGGCTTCAATTTGCAACAGGTAGGAGAAATTCTCAAGCTGCTTACCCAGCTCTGCCAATTGTTGGGAATTGGGGGAGGCAGCGGAAAATTGTTTCAGCAACTTAGCACTCTGATGGGTCAAGAAATTGGAGCTGTTGACACCTCCAAAAACAAAGGAGGGAACAAGCCCAAAAAGAGAAAGAAAGAGCGCAAGACACAGGAAGGTGACAATGGTGGTGAGGGCCTTGGCCACAGGAATGCAGCGCTCAATTCTGCCCCAATCACCAATCCTACTAGCACTTCTGCGCAGCTTCCCAATCGCAAACAGGATGCCAACAAGAAACAGCCCACACAAGCATCCAAGTCTTTTGTGGAAGTAGTTCGAACGAACGCACCGTTCAAACCAGTTTGGTGTTTGAGACAGTCGGACTGGACCGGCCAAGTTTTGACTTTTGATTCTTTTTGCAGTGCGTTGGATCAGCCTGGCAATGTGTCAGCAACAGTGCAGTGTGAATCGGAAGAGCAACTGAGTGAGCTCAAAGTTTTGACAGAAGGTGATGCAACAGATCAGACAAGAGAATTGCATGTCTCTGCAGTTTTGTTAGCTCCAAAAGAAGCGAAGCAGATCGACGGCAGACAGTTGAGGCTCATACCTGGCAAAATAGCTGGGAAAGTTCAGCCAAGGCAGGCTTACCTGATAGCCTTGAAAGGAAACGGACCAACACTCAAAAGAGCAGCCGTTGTTTCTGCTGCTCCTGCAGCTCAGACTGAGACGGTGGTTGTGAGGTTGAGCGTTGAAGCAAAGTATTTGTTGAGCAAAGAGTGGCAGAGCATCCAAGCCAAACCAAAGGCTAGCGCTCAGTCATGGTTGCGAAGGCATGTGCCCGCCCACATTGGTGCCAAAGTTTTTGACATGTGGGCTTTCCAAGAGGAGTGCACGAAGGGTGGTGGCAAGCCGGTCATTACTGGGTTGCTGAGGATTGAGAAAGATGCAGCGAAAGGCTTGCTTTCTTGTTCTGGGAAAAGTCTGTGGTTCGTCGAACCTCTCCAATGGAACAACAGTGTGGTGGAGTCATGTGATGTTGAATGGATCAAGAAAGGTCCTGACCTTGATGGCCCCAGCTATCTTCAAAAGGTCCGAAGTTTGGCAGGTGATCTTGGCATTGCAAGAGGGTGGGGCGGCTTAGGCGTCCGAAAGCCCAGAGCATCTGACCCGATTCCAAAGCCAAGAGCATGGCGCATTAGTGGTGTGCCCCGAGAATGGTCAGCCAGCACGGTCACTGAAGCGATCACACGTGCTGGCTTGCAAGATCCAAAGATTTTGTCTCGCAAAACTTTGGGCAAGCAAGTTGAATGGTGGGCACATGCGAATGCTCAAAGAGATCTTGATTTCCTTGAGATCCAGGCCGGCGAACACACCATTGTTGTCGTTGAAGCGCCCAGGCAGAGACCTCAGCGGCCCATTACAAAGAAGTTGTCCAGTTACGGAAAGGTCAATTTCCATTCCAACACTGGGCCTGCAACTGTGCAATCCTCACAGCCACCGCTAAAGTCTTTCTACATTGGCACGCCGCTCAAGGAAAAGAACGCTGCAGCTGCGCCTGCTACAGGCGCCACGCAGCCTGGTGATGTTCAAGCTGATGAAGCTATGAAAGCTGCTTCGGCTGCTGCAGGTGACAAACGCGAACCTTCTTCGCCCGCCAAGCTGCCGGCGGCAAAGCGAGTTGCAGTGGATGTCAAGCCACCTCATGGCTTGATTGCACGAACCATAGCTGCTGATGGCAATTGTTTGTTTGAGTCCATATCACAGGGAATTGGAGGCAAAACTGCAAGATCCGTGAGAGCTGCAGTTGTGAACCATTTAAAGAAGCATGAAGGTCGGTATAAACCTTGGTGGGACGAAAGGGAGCCCACGGAACAGGAAGAGAAGTGCGAGTCATGGGAAAAGTACATGGAGATGCTTGCAAAGGTTGGGGCTTGGGGCAGCAGCTTGGAATGTGCTGCAGCTGCCGTGCACTACGACAGACCCATATTAGTTTTTCAGCCTACGGGCGTGCCTGAGGTTTACAACAGCCAAGGGAAAGCAGGTGGCGCCATTGCTCTGTGGTATCGCCGAAAGCATTATGAATTGTTGGATGGCGCATTGCCGCCAGGCATTTTGGAGCAAGCCGCCACTGGCCCTATGCAAGGCAACAGAGGGGGCGGGTCGGAAACTGGCACTCACTCGGCTGGCGCTACTCGTTTGTCAGCGCTGCCATCTGTGGCGGGCGCCAAGAAGCGTTCCAAGCGCGACGCCTCCTTGCCTGGTTCTACTTGCTCAGAGCGGCGCAGGAATCCCTCCCCTGCGACTGCTACTTCAGGTCGGGAGCGGCGTGCTGTGAGCAGCGCTGGTGTCAGCGAAAAGGACGAGGCTGGCAGCACTTCGTCCAAACGCCCAAAAAGGGAGGAATGGAATTGTCCTTTGTGCGATTATTCCACAGGGGTACACAGGCTGTGGCCGCAGAAAAAGCAGGCCCACATCAATGCTTGGCATCCTGATGAGAAGGAGAGGTTGAAGCTCACTCCCGCTATGGGTCAGCTTTGTCACGCCGCCCCTGGTATGAGTTTCAAGTGGAAGTGTCACTTGTGCAACATGGTCATTCCTGAAGATGCCGATCTCAGCAGAGACCAGGTGCTTCGCATGAAACTGAGGCATAGAGAAGAACACCATCCGAAAGCGAATGTGCAGCGTTTCAAAAGCGATGGAAGTTACAGGGCGGCAAATGCAGCCAAAGCTACGATTCAAGTGCGCGCAGCTGGCATGGCAAAACGCCTGTTGGGCCTCAAAAAAGGTGATGCCGGTTCCCACGAACCAGTGTTGGTTACCCTCCCTATGACTGGCAAGGCCAAACAGAAAAGAGGAGGTATGGCAAAGGTTATTTGTCGCAAATGTGGCAAGATGGCGAATCAAGCAAAGGAGCTTGCTACGCTGTCCTGTGAAAAGTATGTGGCCGGCAATGGCCCCAAGAGGAAGAAGATGCTGGCAAGGCTCCGCGCTTGTCTCAACAAAGCGTCCATCAGTGATGCTCTCAAGGATGGTGCCCGTACAGTTTTGAACATTATTGACTCAGGCAAGGGAAGCTCCAAAGACACTGCGCCCAAACACCATATTGAGGCACTTGTCTGGCCGGTAGATTTCACGGTCCGTTTTGCTTGCACGAGATGCAAGCGGTGCATGAAGGACGAGAAACATTTCCGTGGAATGTCTTGCGCCAACAGCACCGTTTGGAACCAAAAGAGAAAAGGCAACAAAGACGCCTTGCTGGAGCTCGCCAACAAAGAACCTGGGGCGAGGCAGAGAGCGGCGCTCCGTGCTTTGGAGATTTTGGGGTTTCAGCAAGAGGAAGGTGATTCTACGGACCAATGACGGGTACGTCTAGCACTTTAAGGTTGGGAACTATGAATGTCCGGTCATTGAGTGGCCGGTTGGGTGGCGTTTTTGAGTTAGCAAAGACTGAGCAGATCGATGTTCTTTGTTTGCAAGAAACTAGAGTCAATGTCGACAGTTGGAGCGCTGTCAAGTCAGCTGCAAACCAGCGAAAGTGGCAAGTTTTTCCTGGCGGCCAAGGGGTAGATGCCAAGAATGTGGTGATTGGCGGGACGTTAGTTTTGTCAAAGTGGCCTGCTGAAGCGTTGGCCATTCCAAGTCAGTTTGCACCGGCTGACCGTGCCATGGCGCTGAAGCTTTTTCGACCTCACCAGCGACCGCTTCTTCTGATCAATGTGTACCTACATGCCAACGATCAAACAGCTGCTGGCCACGCCTTGGCTGCCATTTTTGAATACGTTGCTATGCTGGGCGAAGAAGCAATCATTGTGGGCGATTTCAACAGGGAAAGGCATGTTTGGCCGGCCTCCACCGCGCTGGCGTCGGGGCAATGGTATTCTTGCGATGAACAAGTCTGCGGAGACCAGATTGGCCCTGGCACCCATCGCAACTCAGATGGTGAATACACAGGGGTGGTCATTGACTACGCGCTTTCAACTCCCAGAGTTGTTGTTTCCGGAAGAATGCAGTCTTTAGGTGTTGCTGACCATGATGCAGTCATTTACGATATACATGTGCATGGTAGCTTACCCACGCCTTGGAGATTGCCGGCAAGCGCACCACTCTTGCTTTGCAATGTGGAGGTTGAGAACTGGAATGTTGCTTGGGCAGAATCACAGCAAGATTTCACCGATGCTCTGGCCGTCGGAAATGTGGATCAAGCTTGGGTGGTCCTGAGCAACTGTGCTGAATCTTTGCTGCTTGCACAAGGCAAGCCCAGCAGGGCATCAAGGGACGGCCCGCACAAAATGGCGAGCCCCCCATCAACCAAAGCTCCTACGTTGCAGACTTTGGAGGAGCGAAAGCTGAGAAGATTTGCACGGCGGGTGGTCGAATATCAAAAGGCTCCTTCGCCGCAATTGCAAACCAAGCTGTTGCGCGATGCTCCGCTTTTGCACTCGTCTCTTACTGCGTTTTCTTTATCTGATGGTGGTTTGGCTCCCGCCGCTTTGCTTCTTGCAGATGAGGTGGCCAAAAAGGCGTCTCAGCGACGCCTTGCTGCTTGGAAAGAGGACATTCAAGAAAATGTTGCGAAACTGGGGAAGTGGGTTCAGCAAAAACCACCTGATCCACCTACAGCAACACAGGTCGATGGTCCTATTTTGCCTGAAGATAAGGCAAGACAGGAGGCAGCTGCGTGGCACACGCATTGGAATCCGGACCACCTCCCACATTTAGACCAGGTTTCAAATTTGTGTTTGCAGCTCAACAATCAGGTCGACCCAGTCACGCCTGAAAGCATTCAAGTGGTTGGGGCTGATTTGGCGCGTTCTGCGTTGAAAGCTAAACAAAAAGCGGCTGGTATGGATGCTTGGACTGCGGCTCATTTGTGCAAGTTGCCGGAGTCCTTTTGGAATCACGTTGCAGTCTTGTGGTCGGCGTGCATGCAGTGTGCGAAAGTTCCTACAATGTGGAAAGATATTCGCATAGCCTTGATTCCAAAGGCGGCCGGGGGCCTACGCCCACTTGCCATCACGACGGTCCTGTGGCGCATCTGCATGAGTGCAACTTTGCAAAAGCTCCGACCATGGATACAAGAATGGGCCTTGCCTCAGCTTTGTGACGGCCGTCCAGGAAGAGGCATTATGGATGTTCATGAAGTGCTCTACGAAGACATTCGTGCTGCCAAACGTTCAAGAGTTGATTTTGTTGGCTGCAAGGCCGATATCCGTAGGTGTTTCGATTCAGTTTGTCCAAAGACTGCACTTGCTATTTGGCGCTGGTTGGGTGCTCCGGCCAGTTTGTGTGACATGGTGGAAAATTTTTACACTGACCAACGCAGGTGGTTTGCCTGGCAAGGCATTTTCCATTCAGAGCCCATTTGTGCTCGGCGGGGGCTGCTGCAGGGCTGCCCGGCAAGCCCAGCCTTACTCAATGCGGTGATGGTAGTCTGGGTGCGCTTCGTTCTTTTGCAAGAGCCTCGTGTTTCTCTTGCAGTTTATTTGGATGACCGCACAATGTGGAAGAAAGGTGTCAACGGCATTCACGTGGTCACCAACGCCATGCAGGCAGGTGCGCAGGTTGATGCAATTCTGGGCATGGAACTCCATCCTGACAAGTTAAATAGTTTCACAACCAAGCAACATTTGACGCCTCAGCTGTCACAGATACAGGACGTGTTGGGGGCTCCTTGCAGCAAGTTCACGCTTCTGGGTATTCAGTACAATTTGGAGCGTGCAGGTGCTTGTGTTAATGCAGAGAAGCTTTCCTTTGACATTCAGGAGAGGTGTCGCAAAATCAGGTTGGCAGCGAAACGTTTGGGCACCCGCAAGACCTTGCTGGGACAGTTGGTGATCTCTTTGTTTGCATGGACAGGAGCTTTTCACCACTATGATGTTGATACCATCAAGAGTTGGACCTCCAGTATTGAAGCGGCGGTCTGGGGGCGCAAGCCTGCCCCAGGTCGCAGTAGATTGCTGTTCTGGAACTCTTTGGGTACACCGCGTTTGCATCCTGCTTTTGCGCTTCACTTTGCTGCAGCCCGGGCTGAATGGCAGCGCCAGTGCCGCTTGGCCATAGGTGTGCCCGCCGCTGTTTCGCCAGGCCCAAGGTGGAATACTGTTTGCAAAGACTGGAATTGGCGTGTTGAGGGTGGTTTGTGGATCACTCCCGTGGGGACTTTGAAACCAGGGTGGATGTCTTCTTCAAGCTTATACAAAGCTGCTGCTGCAGCATGGCTGGCTTTTATGTGGACGAAGGACACCAAAACGGAGGGTCCTTTACCTGAAGGTAAGTTGCCTGTGTTCCAATTCCAGGCCAATGTGGCGCATGATTTGAACTATTGTGGTCGCAGAGTCTTGACAGGTGCAGCAGTGGATGGGAGAGTTACTCAACGTTTGGAAGTCGACTTGCAGTGTGATTGTGGTTTGAGCTCTCCTGATCGTGAGCATTTCACTTTCTACTGCGAGGCAAATCCTTGGCATGGTGATCTCAAAACTCCAACTGAAAGGCGGTTGCTTGTTCCTCTTGTGGATGCTCCAGCTGTTCTTCCATTTGAAGATATGACGGCCGACCCCATTCTGGTGGCTTTTCTACAACAGTTTGACCCACATCAAACGCCGACTTTGGGCTTGGATGGAAGTTGCGCAATCGCTCCAGGGTGCGAACTTTGGCAGCGTGCCAGCTGGGCTGTGGCGGCACATCTCGGGCCCACGGTCAATGGGTTGGTGCATGGTTTCGAGCAAACTCCTGCTGCGGGCGAGAGAGGTGCACTTCTTCAAGCCTGCTTGGCTTCCCATGAAGCGAACAGAGCGGTGCGCTTGCTGATTGACAACCAAGCTCTTGTGCAACGTCTTCATCGTGGCATGCGGCTTGGTCAGTGGGGTGGAGATCTTTTTCCATACTGGCATTATATCAGGATGCTTTTGGTTGATGGCTCTTCTTGTGCTTGGATTCCCTCGCATAATAAAGTTCCTCGATGGCGCCCACCCGAAGGGTGGCTTGATGTTTTGCGTTGCCGCATGCTCAATGCCAAAGCGGATGCTAGCGCGGCTGATCTTACAGGTCAATTTCGGCAGGTGATTGCTACTTGTTTGTCACAACACAGAGAGGCAGTTGTTTGGGCTGGAGAAGCTTGGAAGGCGCAACTAAAGGGTTCTCTTCCCTACTGGCAAGTTTTGCTTGAACACGAACCACGTCAAAACAGGTCGTTTGAATGAGCGTTTGCTGCTTCTTCAGCTGCATGGGTGGTACTTTTCTTGGCTTGAACTTGCCCTCCGGTTTGTTCAGTGCAAAGAGCTCCGGCTCTGCGTTGGCAATTTCGGCGTCTTAACTACTTCACTTCGGTGAGGAGCAGGTTGACGTCCTCCTCCAATCCAATCCAATCCAGGGACTTACACTACCCGTATCTGGTGTATCTTCGAGGTCTTCGTGGCGTGCAGGCACACCATCCCCACCACTGCGATCTTACCACAGCTGGATCTGGACGAGGACGGCATCGAAACCCTGCAGGAACTCGCCAGGCAATGCCGGGTGGATGCGCAGAGCGCCGAAGCGACCGTCAAGGAGGATGCAGTGGCCATCAAGCAACGCATCATGGAGGACCAGGGATCCTTCAAGTTTGTGAACCAGACGGTGGAAAAGGAACTTTGGTGCGAAGTCATAAGATTCTTGGAGGGCTCCGACGACTCCAATCCCATCACCGGCAGCGGGCCCAGCGCAGCCAGCGCGGTCAGCGCGGCCAGGGCGGCCAGCGGGGCCAGCGGCTCCGAGAACGCGCCCACGTGCGGCAGCGGGTCGTCGGAGGATGAGACCTCGACGGAGATGCGCGTCGCGAAGCCCGGGAAGCCTGCGAAGCCCGGGTGCCAGCTGCAGTGAAGGGAACCCCACCACCGAGGTTCAACCTGGTGAAGCAACCCTTTGGCATTTTTCCGGTGATCCTGATGTGGCCACCAGACTGGAACCTCCCTAAGGTGCTGCCAGCTGCTAGCAATTTGAAGTCTGCGCTTTGTGTGCTCAATTGGCTGCATGCTGCCATTCTGGCTGGCCCTCAGGTTGCAAGACAGGGAAAATTGCGAAGGCAAGGTGATATTTTGAACAGTTGGCCAATCTACTGGCGTGTTTCAAACATCCATATCTGTTTTGGAAGTTTGGTGATCCTGTTCGTGGCAAAGCCACGCATGGCAATTTCCCATGATTCACCATTTTCAAACCATTCTGTGGCACCTGTGTCTAAGAGCTGATTCCCAGCAGTTGACAAGCAGCAGCTGGGTATGTGCCAGTTCTTGGACAGCAAGTCAAATAATAAGGTCCGGCAACAGGTCCGGGACCACAGCCGTTCCACACCCCGGTTCCATACCTGTTT